TCTATTTATAGATATTTATATATATGCCAAATGAAAAATGGTCACACAAAGGTAAAATGTGAAAATTAAATGAACAGACTTAAGTATAAAGTCTCTCGTTATGTGTTAGTTTTTTATGTTTTATGAGCTATGACTCAAATAAATTATTTTTTTAATACTAAACCTGTGCTGGTGTACAGTTGATACAGCACGTATAAGGATCTATTAACTAATTGTCGTTTACATTTCCTTTTCATGTATTGGAGTTGGACTATGGAATAACAGTATCCAGGGAGATCACCTGGATCCAACTAATTATACAGACTTATTACTGGACTGACTTTATACTTAAGTCTGTTGAATTTAGTTTTCACATTTTACCTTTGTGTGACCATTTTTCATTTGGCATATATATAAATATCTATATATAGAGTTTATTCTACTGTAATAGTGATGTCCCGAGCGGTTCGCCGCAGACTCATCATTGAGTAAACTTTGACCCTGTACCTAACAGTCAGCAGACACATTCCAGCCAATCAGCAGCAGACCCTCCCTCCCAGACCCTCCCACCTCCTGGACAGCTCACTAAGAATGCAGCTTCAAAATGGATGCTGTCCAGGAGATGGGAGGGTCTGGGAGGGAGGGTCTGCTGCTGATTGGCTGGAATGTGTCTGCTGACTGTGAGGTACAGGGTCAAAGTTTACCGCATATGTTTGCCGAACCGTTCGGGACATCACTATACTGTAAGCATGATTTTCTAGTTAGCTACTTTGCACATAACGAGAGATTCAGGGTATTCGTTATTTTTTTTTCTTATATATTTTACTTAATAGGTGGCTAGGTCGCCTATTGTTTTACCCTCTCTCCCATCTGGTGTATATATTTAGCAGTCTTTTCTGGCGCTCCACTTTTGCGGACTTCACTTCTTAAGATTTTTGCTTAGCCTAACTTTGGAAGTGTGTGTCGTCACAGACACGTTTACTGTCACATGCTTCCCTGCAGCCAATCAAGGAGCACCTTAGGTTATTTAAACCTTTTTTCCTTAATTTCTCTGTGCCCTGTCATGGTTTCCATTCTGGTTATCTGTTTCTTGTGTATTTTGACCTTGGCTTTGTTACGGACTATTCCGATCTCTGTATCCCTTGACCATTGGCTTGGATCCTGACTATTCTGACTTCTACACCCTGTTCCAAATTATTATGCAAATTCTATTTAAGTGTCACAAAGATTAAATATTTTGTTTTTCAGTTTAAAGGAACACTATAGTCACCTAAATTACTTTAGCTAAATAAAACAATTTTAGTGTATAGATCATTCCCCTGCAATTTCACTGCTCAATTCACTGTCATTTAGGAGTTAAATCACTTTGTTTCTGTTTATATAGCCCTAGCCACACCTCCCCTGGCTATGATTGACAGAGCCTGCATGAAAAAAAAAACTGGTTTCACTTTAAAACAGATGTAATTTACCTTAATTGAACTTTAATCACATACAGGAGTTTCTTGCAGGGTCTAGCAAGTTATTAACATAGCAGGGGATTCATTAAGCTAGAGTTGTTCAGGTGACTAGAGTGTCCCTTTAACTCATGGATGGCATTGTGTCTCAGGGCTCTTTTGATCACTGAAAACAATCTCGGACACCTGTGATAATTAGATTGCCAGGTGAGCCCAATTTAAGGAAAAACTACTAAAGGAGAGTGTTCCACATTATTAAGCAGAGCACCATTTTCAAGCAATATGGGGAAGAAAAAGGATTGCTCTGCTGCCGAAAAGAGTGAAATAGTTCAATGCCTTGGACGAGGTATGAAAACATTAGATATTTCACGAAAACTTAAACGTGATCATCGCACTATTAAGAGATTTGTGACTGATTCAGAGCACAGACGGGTTCGTGCAGATAAAGTCACATTGAGGAAGATTTCTGCCAGATCCATGCATCGGATCAAAAGAGCAGCTGCTAAAATACCATTACATAGGAGCAAACAGATATTTGAAGCTGCTGGTGCCTCTGGAGTCCCACGGACATCAAGGTGTAGAGTCCTCCAGAGTCTTGCAACTGTGCATAAACCTTCTATTCGGCCACTACTAACCAATGCTCACAAGCAGATATGGCTGCATTGGGCAGAAAAATACATGAAGACTAATTTTCAAACAGTCCTGTTCACTGATGAGTGCCATGCAACCCTGGATGGTCCAGATGGATGGAGTAGTGGATGGTTGGTGGACGGCCACCCTGTTCCAACAAGGCTGCGACGTCAGTAAGGCGGTGGTGGAGTCATGTTTTGGGCGGGAATCATGGGAAGAGAGCTTGTTGGCCCCTTTACGGCCCCCAATGGTGTAAAGATGACCTTTGCAAAGTATGTGGAGTTTTTGACTGACCACTTTCTTCCCTGGTACAGAAGGAAGAACTATGCTTTCCGTAATAAAATCATCTTCTTGCATGACAATGCACCATCTCATGCTGCAAAGAATACCTCTGCATCAATGGCTGCTATGGGGATAAAAGGAGAGAAAGTCATGGTGTGGCCTCCATCCTCCCCTGACCTCAATCCTATTGAGAACCTTTGGCGCATCCTCAAGCAAAAGATCTATGAGGGTGGGAGGCAGTTTACATCCAAACAGCAGCTCTGGGAGGCTATTCTGACATCTTGCAAACAAATTCAAGCAGAAACTGTCCAAAGACTCACAAGTTCCATGGATGCAAGACTTGTGAAGCTGCTATCAAATAAGGGGTCCTATGTTAAAATGTAACGTGACCGTTAAAATGTTTAAAAAGTTAAAATGTTGTTATAAGTTTGATTGAAATAGCTTTTGATTTCAGTAAATATGCTGCAAACACAATAAATGACAATTTTCAGTTCTTTACAACCTATAAAGTGTTTTGAAACTTACTGTGCATAATAATTTGGAACAGGGCATTGCAAGTTTTTTATGTTTAAAAAAAAAATAGAAGGTTTGTTCAATAAAATTTGAATTGTACTCTTAATAGTTGATGAGAATTATGCTGACTGTTATTTACATCAATTATTTAGGTAAATGAAAAAAATATAATTTCATAATAATTTGGAACAGGGTATATATTCCTTGACCTTTGGCTTACATACCGTTTACGCTATATCTGTATTCTTGACCTCCGCCTGTCTTGTGGTTTTTGCTTTTATACGATAAATTCAGCCGTTCTAAGGCCCGGTAATACGTCTTAGGGTTTTCTTTATTTCTTCTTAAATTCTGCGTGTTGGGCATATTAGTGTATCCTGACAGCCAGCATTTCTGATCTATTTATACACATGTTCCACTTTTATTTTGTGCTTGTTATATCTTTTTTTCCTACCACAATTTTCCAATACTAAGACAACCACAGTAGCACCTATAGGTAAGAACGGCCTATTCATTTATATAAGCAATTACCCTTGATACACACCGAGCACTCAGGCCTGGCTACCTACCCACGGTGATGTGCTCATTCTATGATCAGTGACCTACAATCGTCCAGACCTTGCTTTTGGACCGCAAAGGTTAGCCTAGTCTACCCTCTCTTGTTTTTACATTTGTTCTCATCTCCTCCTTAATATTAGCCGATGAACTGAGAAAAGCACCACTTAAGCTTGCTTCCTTAAAAATAAGATATGGATTGTCTGAATGCTCACCCTAAATAACACCTCTGCCCTTGCACTCGTTACCTATTTTCGATAAACCCTGTGCTCAATCCGACAAAGATATCCCTCACAAGTGCGGAGTATCATTATCATTATATTATTATGTTACTATTATATATTTTTTTATATATACCATTTTAGATATTGTGTAAATTCAGCGAATTGTCTATCCAGATTATTTTATAAAGCCAGATTATTATAAAGCCAGATTATTTTATAAAGCGTTATGTCTCCGTTTAAGTGTGCGACCCCTTAATACCCCCAAAAGTGTCAGTATGTATACTCCAAATGCGTAACTCGTCTGCCATATCTCGTAGCTGACAAGTTGGTTTTACTTGTGTTAACTCTATACTACAGTATAAAATGTACAATGAAATGACATGCCAAACAACGTACCTAATTGTTGACCGATGCACTGGCAATAGCTGTTGTGGCATTGCTAGATTCTATATATTTTTCATGCACTCCAAAAATAAAGATTTTTTTTTAAAGTATTTATCTATTCTATTAAATGCTACTTTTTATTAACATGCTAGCTTTTCATCAGGTTTACCCAAGGTATTATTACTTGGTGGGTAAATCATTACCTAACCCAACCAAATGTTTGTCGCCCAGAGGTCGGCAATGTTAATTTGATGTAACATTATTGCTCAGGTGGCCTATGACATGAATGACTATTATCACTCTATACCGTGGCTGGAGGAAGCGGTGAGCATGTTCCGAGGGACGTACGGCAATTGGTATACAGAGGAGGAGGGAAGTTTAGAAGATGCTCTGGATTACTTGGCATTTTCTCATTATAAAGTAAGTTAATTTCTTTTTTTTTTTTTTTTTTATGCATTTTACATTGGATCTGCTGTTTCTAAGGGGAGGATGTGTTAGGATGTAGAATAGTAAGATTATTAATGTAACTCTGCCTGTATGTGGGGGGAGGAAGCAGACCACCTCCACCTGTTTTAGAACTTAAATTCCTCTGATGTGTTGCGTCATTTTGGCCAGCACCCCAATAACTACTACAGTCCCCTCATTCCCAGGTAATTATTTATGTACAGGTTCCACAACTTCTTGGTACTGTGACCCCTATAATTCAACGTCAGCACGTAATCTGGTCGAGAATCATGTGAGTTACAATCTACAGAACACAAGTTGCTAGAGGCTCCCCTGCAATCACTATATATACTTTGCGCATATTTTAACATATTCAGATTTTTTTTTTTCATACAAGAGCAAGCTGTATTTGCAGCCCAGCAAATTTTAATGGATTCCAAGTTCCCCAGTAGGTGTCATTAGAAGATAAAACCCACATTCAGGATTTGTACAGAGCCGTACTCACGAAGGTTGGCATCATTCCATAGTGTATTCTGTCAGCTGGATATAGGATAGCCAAAGCAGTCCAATTCTGAAATCGGGAATATGAGGAAGGTAGCAGAATGTAAACGGCAATGAAACATTTATTCATACTTTTTTTTTTTGCTGCTAGTGGTATGGATAAACATAAAATAGAGAGGTGTTATTAGTCTGTAAGTGTGCGTATGTATGTGTTTTTTTGTGTGTGTGCTGTCTGATTTTATTTTTTCATTCGTTATTTGAGTCCCCTTCTCCTAGGTTAAAATTTTCTTTTAAAAAATGCCTTATTCTTTATAAGTAAAATTAAGTCAATTGTAGGTGATTTCCCCAGGGAATTGCAAATCTGAGGCCAAAATAGCTGTAGTTGGCAAATATTTCCATTTGGGCTACTTTGCCTAATATTTGCAATTCTCTGGTAAATTCTCAACAATACATCATCTAGGGGCTTCTTTACCAAGTGCTGAATTTTGTCTGGATGGACAAAATTTGGGGAGAATTACCTGATTCTGCTCAGATTTGCAATTCTCATATTTACTAAAACCTTAATCCACCTGAAATTCTGTCATTCTAAATTCGCACCATCCACAGACGCATCGCCTGCTCTTTGCAGTCTTGTTTTTTTATTAGTAACTGTCAATCATGGTTTGGAAATTGTGATGTGAAGCCAACATGG